CAGGTCAGCGGTATTAGAATTCGGGATCAACTGCCACCGTTCGTAGTAGGCGAGGACATGGCGAAGTATCTCGTCAAGTTTGAACACGTCTGTGAGCGAAACGCTTTGGAGCGGTCTCTTTGGGCGCAGAACCTGTTAGCTCTTCTTCCCGGCGAAGTGTCCGACGCATTAACTTGCTTGTCTAGGGAAGCGTTTGAGAGCTATGACGAGGTTAAGGAAGTGCTCTTGAGACGGTACAAGTTGTCACCCGAGGCTTTCAGGCAAAGGTTCCGGTATGCTGAAAAGGGGAATGAGTCACACGTTGACTTCGCGTTTCGTCTTAAAGCCGATTTAATTGAATGGCTCAAGGGCGAAGGTGTTTATGACGACCGCGATAAAGTGGTGGAATGCGTTGCATTGGAGCAATTCTACCGCTGCATCGAGGATGATGTCAAACTTTGGCTGCAGGACAGACTTGGGGACGTACAGTTAAACAAGGCAGCTGAGTTAGCTGAGGAGTATTATACTCGCCGAAAGTTGCATAGCAGGGCAGCGCGCGTTGAAAAGGATGAAAGGAAAGAGGGCTTTTCAAGGAAACCTGATCAACGGAAACCCGCTCCGCACCGTAATTTCAAGAAGGACCCGTCTCTTACGAAGGACAGTGTGGGGGAAGGGCAAACAGAAGCGGAGAAATCGAGTGAGGTTTCTACCACACAGGCATTAGAACCGGAAAACAAACGGAAGCCGCTAATCTGCTACAACTGTAAAAAGGAAGGACACATCGCGAGAAACTGTCAGGAAAAGTTTGCCTTCGCAACGATCCGAGAATCAGAAAAAAACCTTCGGTTGTTGGAGCCGTATCTCCAAGAAATTAGGGTGAATGAGAAAACGTGCCGAGCACTTAGAGACTCAGCGGCAACCATGGACGTTGTCCATCCTTCATTGGTGTCTCCGGATGACTTCACAGGAGAATGCGCGTGGATCAGGCAAGTCGCCGAGGAGCAGAGTGTTCGCTTACCAATCGCCACGGTTGTCATTGAAGGCCCGTTCGGTAAGCTTTGCACCGAAGCGGCTGTGTCTGCCGCGCTGAATGGTCGTTTTCCTTATCTTTTCTCCAACAACTCGGAGCAGCTTCTCAAAGAGCAGGGCAAATCGTTCTTCCCCAACTTAGCGTGCATGGCTCTCACGCGATCGCAAGCGCGGAAGCTATCGCGGCAGCTTGATCTGGTTCCATGCGGTGAACTCTCAAGTGACCTTGTCGGCGGGTCGACGGAACCCCAGAAAGGAAAGTTTCCGCATGAGTCATGGGAGCAGTCACGTGAGCGGCCCGTCGTCGACACGACCGGCGCGGTTTCCGGAGAAAGGGGAGACGACGTGGCGCCATTGAGTCAGAGCGAGAGGGTTGCAACGCTCTCGCCTGTAGCGGAAAGTTGGAGCGAGCTGCCGAGAGTTGATCGAGAGGCGCTCATTGGAGAGCAACGTGAGGATTTCTCGATTGAAGCGCTAGTGGAAAGCCAAATTGAAGCGCGAGTGGAAAGCCAGAAAAACGCGGCAAAAGTGCTGTCGAAGGAGCACTACGAGAAATCGGGGAAGAAGCGCGCTTTTGAAGTTGATAATCAGGTAATGCGGCTGCAGCCACCCAAAAGGAACAAGCTTGAGGTTGATTGGGAAGGGCCCGCCACAGTATTATCGAAGCCTTGCGATACAACTTATGAGGTGCAAGTAGGAAGGCGGCAGAACAAAATTTACAACTTGATGAAACCCAATGTTCAACATCAAGCGGTCGTAAATCAGCTGTTGAAGGCTTCAGAGGAAGAGGGAGCAGAAAAATTGAGTTCTAGTGAGGTGATCGAAGGGGGATCGAAAGTAATTTGGGAGCAGATAAACCTAGAGCCTAGCTTAAGTGAAGGAGGACCTGAGAAAGAGGACCTGAGAAAGATTGGTTCCGAGTTTGAAGACGTGTTTTCGGACCGCCCCGGAAACATGAGGGTGATCGAACACGATATCGAGCTAAGCGGTGAGGAGTCAATCAGTAGCAAGCCGTATCGTTGTTCCCCTGTGCAACGTCGCAAGTGTGAGCCGCTCTTGGTGCCGCATAGGTATCGTCGCCTAAAAGTGGCCGGTTACTGAGGTGGAGCATGTTGCTCCACAGCGCAACTTTGACGTTCGCTAAAGAAAAAAAAATGGAAAGGTAAACGTTAATGCAGGTGCATTGAGCAGTGCGTTTAGTTAGTACCTTCTCAACCTTTCGGTTTCTGGCTGGCGATTCGGGGCAAAATTTTGACCTCATCACGACCTGGGCTGAGCGCTCTCGTTCAGAGTGATCTCAAGGGGCCAACTTTATGTGGTATTCTAATTCGTTGCGTTGTTGTAATTGTGAAAAATTCAAGTTCTTACTTTAAGAGTCTTGTGTCCCACATGTGCCTCTTGATGTAGAGGGAACAAAATTCCGATAAACACGTAGATAGGTATATGTTGTACTATATTTTGTCTGGTGTTCTGTCGGGTGACCGAGGGCACTTGCTTGTGTCGTGTGTTGTCTGTTGTCGAACCGTTCTTAGCAAGTTGCAGAACCATCGACAAGTGCTGAAACCGAAGATGGTCAGAAGAGACGAGCGAAGTTGGCCAGCAAGTTGTGGCGACAAGCCAGTGGAGCTGGGATCCGTCGTCAAAAATGGGATGTGTTCCCGGACCAGTCTGGAGCTGTATTCTCCCCATGGCCCTGGAGGCGAACCTGGAGGGACCAGGCGAACGAGCGCACCTGACATCCGAGCCCCGTGGAAGCAGCTCGTCTTTCCGGTGCATTGTCTGGCGGCGGGGGTGCTGTTATGCCAGCGAGTCCTCGTCAAACGACCGTGCCTCTGAAAAAGGCAATCGGGGTCAAGGCCAGCCCGCCGTCTGCCCGACACGAACATCTCAACGGCGTGAACACGCGCGGCGCCTCTCTCGCCCACGTGCATTGAGTCATCGGCGCACGTGACAGCGAGCCGGCGTTCTCGTGCCTGGTGGTCTGACGCATGGCGCGGCGACCCTCCATTGGCGGAATCTGCTCGGACGACCCGCGGCGCTTCTGATTGGACACTTTGGTTGGACCCGGTGCAAATAAAAGAAGCCCTGCGGCGCGTCGCGATCGGCAGTCCTAGAGAGAGGAGTCCCCATGTCGGAGGGCCGACATGTGTGTGAGTCAGCGGTCTTAGGCGAAAGGCTGAACTATGTGTTAGAGAGAAGAGCTCGGCTCTTCGAGTCTCTGTCGGCCCCAGTGCCGAAATTGTAACGCCTCTGTATATATGCTGTACATAAACCTTGTTTAACTCACCGTCGTCTCGTCCGCTCGTCTTATCAGCTCTGCGCAGAAGCAGTCGCGAGCTGATAAACATACGCTACCAAACGGCTGGTGACCTTCCCGGCGGAGTTGAAAGCAGTGGCGCCTCCGGGGCCGTGTTGGCGTCGCCGTCTTTCGCAACAGTGGTGGCTTCGGTGGGATCGGTCCGCCGTTTCTCAACACCAGGCGACGCACGCCGTGGCTCGAGATCATGCACGCCGAGCCATCTCCGACACGCTGGGATCACGTACCGACGGCTGTCACGACAAGCGTGAGCGCATACCGAAGAAGTACGCAGACATTTCGGCACACTACAGGAAGCAGAGGAAGCTTGGTACCCGCCAGCCCACAAAAGTTTGAGTAGGGAACAAGCGGTGACATGGCGAAGACTACAAGCCGGAACTTACCCGCACGGAACATTGATGCACGCTTTGTATCCAGGAACGTTCAGGCAGGACTGCAAGTTCTGCCCTCCAGACACATGCAACACTCTGCGCCACATGGTGCTGGTGTGTCGCAACAATCTCACCGCCAAGTGAAAACGCAAACGAACAGAAAGAAACGGATAAAGAGGAAGCATTCGAAGACCAGTGGGAGGCTTTGTTGGTGACGCAAGACCCTGACAACCAGCTAGGATTGGTGAGCCGGGCTCGAGCGGCAGCAGCGAGCCATGGCTACCTGGACTGAAGAGGCCACCCACCTTCGGGCTGAAGTACAAAGAGCCTGGTCTAAATAAAGTTCATTTCATTCATTAACGCTGTGGTTGTGTACATAATCCTCGGTGTACGCATCACTTGAAAAATAACTTTTGCCACGATTCTTGACGATATAAAGGCCACTCGATAAGAATTCAACTTTTCGTGTTTTTTTTAAGTTGCCCCGCATTTCGATAAAATTCGTTTCGTCACCATTATTAGGGAAATAAGGCACAGCCTTTGGAAATATTGGTCTCTTCATTTTTTGAAGTTACCTTGAGTTCTGATGAAATCCATATTTTTTTCACAAGTTTTGGTTAAATTAGTAAGTCTTTGGGAATAGTCAATATACATATGTTTTTTTCTGAATATTCATTTAATATGGACCAAATAAGTGTTGGGTATTTTCCAAGCGAAACGACTTGAAACACTGAGTTTTTTTTTTAGTTTCTTCAATGGATCTCAGAGGCATAAACTTCCTTTAGTACACAGTGCACTGTCAGCACTGATATGTACAAGTGTGTCAAGAAGTTTCTAGCATTAGGTCTAAATTAGCACAAGAAACAATTTTAGCAGTTTATGCAATGCACCAGATCCTAAGAAAATGAAAGTACACACCATATGGGATTTATTGTTACTTTGTGCTACTCTTCCTCTATTAAGAAGTGTACCCACAGTGTTTTCAGGTCACAAGCAGCAGATGCATATTCTGTGTGATACAGCGTCGCCAACACCAACTACCAAGTGCAGAGTTTCGAACAAGAGAAATAGATAAAATATCAATCCTGCTTGAAGACAAAATATGCCCAGTCTTTTAGGGGGTGTATACACACAAACCAGATTATCACAATGTTGCACCTTACACGAAAAAAGTCCGTTATATCCAAAAATTTGTTATAAAACTATAATCTTAACACTCCATTCATTGCAGGACTATTCTTTAATTTTGTAATATCTGGGTTCGTTATATGGAGGTGTGAGTGTATAATTAGACACAAGTGAACTTTGTTGGTTTTCAAGTCTCATTTTATTGAAACGTGGATAAAGGTGTTTACAGGAAAAAGTCAATAGCTCTATAAGCCCCTTGGCCTTAAATTACAGAACATTTCTGCTGCTGCCACTGAAACCTTCTTCACCAACGAAAGCAAAGTCGCAGCAATGTTACACGCAGGCACTGCTCCTGTACAGGTCCGTGCGATGCAAAAAGAAAAGAAGAAAGTTTACAACAAAGAATGGTCGGAAACCATTAGAACATCAGCCGTGTGAAAAACGAGCAGTTCGTAAAGCGTTCACACGACAAGCTGCGTACAGCTGCTCAGTTTTTTGCACGTTACTACATTGCATAAGCTGCCGGCCGCAAAATCACCGTTGCTTGGGCAAAAACTGTCACCACAGTGCAGGGGGAAAAGAAAACGTGGCCTAACAATCTTCTTTTTCGCACAAGCCTCATCTAAGCACACATACATGCACATACACTCTGCACAAAATGGGCTAGTTTAGCTCTCTCCAATATTACACTAACACGTGTTAACTCCCCTAGTGGCGAAGTGAGAGGCCATTGTGCATGCATCAACGGCAAATATGTTTCCTAGTGGAGGGTCACGTGGGCAGACCGAAATCTGGAGACTAATGCCAGAAAGCAACGTGGCATTGAACAACCTAGCTTGCTCGGCAGGCAAGCAAGCATTGGCTAAGGAGTACTGGCCACTCCGAATACTTTACAACCTATGGGCATGCGCAAGGCGCACAAGTCAAAGCGCGCTGTGGATGTACCTTTGATCAAGGCTCGCGGAAGCTACACAGGGGGCTGCGCATTGCCGGGACCTCGCATGTATGTACAAAGTTCTACTTGCTTCATCTCGTAAAACAAATAATAATAATATAAGTAGAGCACGAAAAAAGCGGCTGACAAGAAGCCAAGAACTAACAAGTAGACAGAAACGAGCACCCGTTCTTGTCTACTTGTCTCCTATGTCTCGTCCTTTTCTGTGCTCAAATTTTATTTTTAGACAATGCACCAGCTCGCCCAGCAATGCATTTTATCTCGTGAAACGCTGCGGAGTAAGTGCATCAGCAGTAGCGGGCGTAAGCTGTACTTGCCGCATACGGTAAGCCACCTGTCACGAACTGGTTCGATGCCCTGGCGTTAAAACCGTACAGCACTTGCAGGGGCAAACTTCGCAAGGGAAATGTCCGTTCTTTATATCCCGTTAAGAAACACCATGTCACTTGTCTGTGACGAGAAGCCAGTGACCATCACACGTGCACGTAACACTGTAGGCTTTGTGGTATAGTAACGACAGCAAATAATCTTGCCATTTTGCAACCTTCACCACAAGTCAAAACATTACTGCAGGGCTGACTAAGCATATATACGTCCTTCCAGCTCATTGAACACCCACCTCCATTTCGCTCACATTTTCGATGGTTTCGCCCAAGCTTACAATCTCTCAAACGCACCAACCGTGAAGCTCGTTTGAAAACGAGCGCGAGATAAATCTGCGATTTAGCAACGACACCTTGTATGCATGCTTTTCAATCGAAAACGCTTCAGCACTGCTTAATACATTCCCTAGCCGCCATGTAATGCTACCTGCACCACTGCGTGAAAACACGGCACCAGGCAAGAATGTCAAGGACAGCTGAGGATTTTGAATACGCTGCCTGTTCAACTGAACGATGTGCTCGCAGATGGTGCTGCAGTAACAGAGTTCTAGTTTACCCGATAGTACGGTTGCAAGGTTAAGACATTCGTAAGAGAGCCACTGGCACTAATACTGGCATTACGCTAAAAGCAAACCAGCGAGACGTAGAAACTGCTGACGTCATCATATTTGTCCTTTGAGCTGTGCGTTTCTTAGCAGACTCCCTGTGTCACAATAAGCATGTTTCTTCCGATACGGAATGTGTTACGTGGTCTAACGAACCTCCTGCTAAAAGCTCGGCAGTTCCCAAATGAGTAAGTGTACTTCCCTGACACTGCAACACCCTAATAATAAATGGCAGCTTCTCGGCTCGCAACAAGACTAAGCGTGCAAAGCTGTAATTATGTGGTTGCACAACCATAACTCTACATTAATCGTATCACCATCACAGATGAAGGCATGCATTGTTAGCGGCGACACTGAACGTGAAGATTTAAGTGTTCCTTTTGTTCTTTTGTTTCTTATCTGGTGGTGCTACTGTTTCAAACCAGAGTAAGAACTTTTCAGTGGCACTGGAGCAGCGGTCATGACGTCTAGAAGTACCACGTATAAAATCTACACAGCCACAAGGAGAAGACTTGGCAACAAAACACCTAAGGCACTAAAACGCACATAAAGAATGCAACACAGAGACACAAATAACGAAAGTACAATAAACAGGCCGCACAAATTGTTCGCCTAGAGCTCTAAAAATGCCCACATAAGGAAATCTCAACTATGCTGTACAACGATCACCAACCTACACACATCTTGCCGAACAAATATGTTAACCCAGAATGTGCAATAACTTACGGTTGTGTGTCTGAACTTACGGTTGGTAAATTAACGTGTACATTATAAAGTGAACATATGTTATATTGTGTGTTTGTGGCACGCCCCATAAGATATGCAAAATTAAAATTGCCCTTTGGTTCATTCGATTCCGGACTATTTTGACAGGCATAATAGTTGAATTGATTGGCCATCAGTTAACTTTTAAATTGTGCAAACGTAATTTGAACTAAGCACCGAGTGGAAAACCTCAATTATATTACCCACAACCTAACTTCCCGGGTCAGGGAGGCGAAGGCGCAAACGTGTGGTGGTTGAGTTTTACTTTGTTGATAGTCATACCGAACGGCACACACATTGGATTTGTGCATCTGCAGCCATCTAGGAAGCCAACAAATCAGAACTTGTATCTTGAAACACATCTGCAGTGACACACACGCTTTTTGAAGAGTTTCTACGTTCTCTTTAGAATGTCATCGAACAGCAATAGTGTGACCTAGTATGCATGCTATAATAAACGAGCCACTGGTCTGATTCACGACTTAGCAGCTACCTTCTTAATGCCTTCAAACCATTGCAGTCACTTGCTTACCAGGTAAGAGAACAGCTATTCTTTTTGGGATTCTGATCTCGCCGCAGACTTTCAATACACTCAACAATGCATTTAGCTTATGCAGTGATGGTATAATTTCCACATTACACTGTTACACTCAAACCAGCAATATAACAAACCTGGATATAACGAAATATTGGTTATAACAATGTAAATGTGTAATAGTGTTAGAATATTCGTTTATAACAAATTTTCAGAAATAAAAACTTATTTTCGAGTAAGATGCAACTTTGTTATAATGAGATTTGAGTGTATTCCTGATCCACAGCTTGCATACCTCATTACAAAATTTTTAAACTTCTGTTTTTCACTAAGCCACCTGGTGGTATCTAGGGCACAGACATGAACCCGCTAGCGCACTCAATGCGTTTCCTTGTAATGTACAGATACGTGGATAAACATGCGCGATTGCACAATTTAAAAATTGTTTTGCTTATGTTTGACACTGACGTATTGGCAAGGTATTGACAGTGTGGTGACTGAAGCATTAAGTAGTAAATAAAAATGAATGCGAAGCTATAGCTGTATGGCATTAGTTGGTAGCTATGGTGATCGTTATCTACTGCTTCCTTCTCAGATAGCAGCTTTTAATTGGCCACAGCCCTCTGTCTCCAATTAGCCGTACCTGCGCTGTGCAAGACTATGTTGTCTTGCTAACAAATATTTATTGACCATATTGTAACACAGAACAGCTTGCAAGAAACAAGGTCAGTTGTCGCACAGAACACAGCAGTTAGAAAAACAAATTCTCACACTAACACATTGTCAACCAACCAAGCTTTGTGTACTCAATTAAAATGCTCATATGCTTCGAAATTCATTTCATTGCTTGTCTGTAAATGTCGCTGCCTCATAGCATCTATCGAACGAAATCAGCTGCTAATTACCTCAGTTAACCAAAATGCAATTGGGCTTTATAAGCAGTTTATAGGACTACTGTACTAATTAGTCACACAATACATAGCCTAACAAGTGATATTGTTTAACTGTCCTTTCTTCTTATTACTCAGTCTTAGTCCCCTCCAAGCTTTGCATGCCATTATCAATATTAAAAACAGCTGCTCAGCAACACAAATCTCTGGGCAACTTTTTTTTTGCACTAGAATTTTTTTTAGGTACTGCAATATATTCATATTTTTGTGTACTATAGTGATTTTGTCAAAAAACATTTCAATCGTCCTCTGAAAAACAAATAGGAAATCTGATCGAAAACCCGCCCTTCCAATCTGCCTACCCCTTCCCCTCCCCCCCCAGAAAAAACAACCTGTGAAAATTTTTCATTTGGTGAGTTACCAGAGGATTCATCGACAATACAACAGGATGCAAAAATGTCACAGACGTAGCATTCACGCAATTTTTTTCTTTTTCTTATTGACAAAGCATAAATGGAAATCGTTGCACAAGGCAAACTTCACCACAGTGTAGTATCACTGCATGGATGCTCACTACAGACATGACAGTTCTCAAGCTGCCAAAATTACAAGTAAACTATACGGTAAGCACCTTTTCGTACACATTGGTACATGTTCTCCACAAAAAATTTAATCTCAAGCAGCAGAACCTGTCGCAGATTGATTTGGCACGTTATCTGGCTGCTCACGTGTGAGCATCAGACAGTCCTTCGTGCTGCTGACATAAAGAGTTAAAAGAATGTCGAGGAATGCACTAAAGCAGACCGCTGACGGCCATCAAAATTCCAAATCATTTTTTGTTCGCTTGTGTACATTACACTACACTTCTCTAGAAGAACTAAAAACGAAAAAAATCACAAAAAATGCACTAGTCGCAGCAAGTTCATCACAAGTGTGCGCACTAACCACAGCTAAACCCACATTTAGCACGCTAGTAGCACAACCAGAATGAAACTGGCGTGTGAATGAATTCTCCAGAAGCCTGACGTAACTGCAGAAGCATGACGACAGAAAATGTCAGAAAACGTCAGAACACCAGCTCCTTCGTAAAACAGCGCTTCTTAGGAAAAAACTTTCAATTTTTACCTTCTTCTGCACATGTACAAACAGAATAAAATGCTTTTGCCCAACGAGTGCTCAACTAATTACGATAAAATATTATTTCATTTATCAAAGACCGAAAGCTCTAATAAACCCATAGATTCAAGACATTCACTTAAAACCATAAATCTTTTAAAACAGCTGCCCAAAAAACCACAGCATTAAAGACAACCTTGAAACAATGTTTTCCAAATGAACAACAACAAGAAATGCGCTATACTGGCATCGAAACCGAGTACCAAAATCCTATACACTGCACTTGAAAGAGAATTTCAAGTGGGCAAGATTTCTACACCTTACTGTGCAATATGTCCTTAAATGCGGCATGAGTAGAACTCTATAATGAACACGGTTTATCACGTAACTAATGCGAGTTGTAAACTAGCAGGTATGTTTTCAATTTTTGACTGTATTTTCTGTATCTCACACAGTTTTGCTTACACAGGCTCATTAATAACAACACATAAAGCTGTAAATGAGCTACAATTCTGGCTCTCTTTTAAAAGACATGTCATAACTACAAAAAGGTAGCACTATATATCATACAAATGGTTAGCAACTTGCGATTTGGTGCGTTGCTAAATGTACCAGCAAAATATTTAGCAACCTGATCGTTTCAAAAGCGAACGGCACAAACTTCAGTCACGTTTCAGTGGAAGCTTTAAATTAGGTGCCTGTTACGTGAACTTATGCATGAAACTTTCGTTAAAAAAATGAAAGAACATTTCTCTATTTCTCGTTGAAAACTCACACGAGAATCAATGCTGCATACAAGGCAAATCTTCCTCTTATAAAGCAACACCTCAAAGACTCGCTGCGATCACATCGGCAGTGGGTCAAACACATCTGCAACAGGTCGTACAGTGCCTCATCACGTTGGCAAAACCGCGGCAACATGTTGGGTCATGCGGTGGCGTCACGTCGGCAGGCCGATTGGCAAAGCGGGTGCCCTTCTTTGGGTGAGTAGCCTAGGCAAGGTTCACTAGTGGCAAGAAACAAGTGAGCAACAATGGCAAAATGCTAAGTGGGCCGGGCTGAACGATGGCAAAGCCTGCGATGACTCGGCAAAACGCGGCTTGTTTTTCGGGCGGCCAGGGTGGCGTCGCCTATTGACTGGGGGTACCTAGGAATAGTCGCTCTCAAGTAGCCCCTTGCGTCAGTATGCGGGCAGCGAGCTCCTTCTCCTCGGTTTCTTCCCTGCAAGTAATTAGGGTAATTAACAATGTATGAGTGTTAAAAAGTGCATGTGCAAGTAACTTCATATTTATATTTTTACATCAACTGTGCCTAATGAAGGCTTCTCCCCTCTACCTTTAATTTGCCCAGTCATTTACCGGCTGACACTACTGCGTGCTTTCTCAATTTTCTAACTACATCATGCTGCCCGTTCCCCTGCAGAACACAACTTCATTTTCCATAGCCTGACATCGGTTGCATCACTTTGACAGAAAAGCGGATTCCAATGGCAGATTCTGAGCGCTTCAGGCAGCAGCTTTTCTCCTCCATGGGGAGCAAGCCTGTTCCATTGGCAGACTGAGGGGGCTCCCTGTAAGTTCAACTGGCAGATCTGGAGCAGCTCCGCTGCCAGATTCACTCCACAGCGCATCTCTCTCCACTCAATTGAGAAAAGTGGCGAATGCAACCAGAAGTTGCATGCACCTCGAGCGTGCCCAAGCGTGGCGTACCAGGTGACCTATGCAACACACTGCCATGGCACACTTGTTCTCCCTGCCCGCGCCTGCGAAGGTGAAAACGACCCGAAATGCGGTGAATGCTAGGCACTTCCAGAAACAGATGAGTGGTAGCACCACCTGCCACTTGTTCTGGCGGCAGCGCCTGTGTTCCAGAGGCCTATTTCTTTCAGTTGCCCACCACCCAATGGAAGTTCTTCGGAGAAGAGTTCGCCGGCCACTCCGAATCTGCCACTTGAATTCACCATAACAGGCCACAGGTCACGCGATGTGCCCAACTAATCACGTATCCCGATAAACTTCACACATTCACGTTGTTATGGGTAGAATAATACGATTGTTCAGCGAACTGTGAGTGCGGGTGAAACAGACACCCGAACCAACTAGCCCACCTTTCCATCGTGTTACAATGAAGAATAATATGCTTGCATGAACAAAAGGTGTGGTGTTGAAGTACGGTGGCTGAAATGGTACCACCAGTCTATGACTAAAACAATTTAAGCTCTTTACACTGTCTTTCTGTGCAGAGTGGCACAAACTCCCAAGAGGCAATAGGAAGTCACAACTAGAGCATCAGCTACCCTGGTACCAGTCTTGTAACTTTTATTATTTCTTAAGAACCATAGAGAAAGTCATATTTGTACGACAAATTGATGAAAAGGAGCTTTCAGAAAGTTGGCTATAGGTGTGACTGCCTGACACATGTATTCAGGGAAGCACAATGAGCTGTTTCCCTGCAAAACTGAAGTCTGTAATCAGAAGTCTGTGCTTCACCCCCCAAAAAATTATGAAGTTTCTAAAAATGAGGATTATATGCCCGACCTTCTGGCCTACCAAGCTGAAACCATACCAGCTGAAAGGAACAACATTTTGAGCAAGACCTCGTTAATTCGAATTTCACAGCACCAGGAAAGGTGTCTGAATTAACCAAAGGTCAAATTAAAAACAGTACCAAGAAAACAATGAACAAATGCCTATTCCATGAACAGTCTTTCATTTCCTTAATGAATATGTGAATCCCATACTTGCTTTGTGTGAGAGCAGCATTAAAGCCCCAATTTCATTAACCTTGGTGAAAGACTCCTGTGTCTTAATTAGCCCAAAATTGGCTATGCACCTCTTCCTTATTGTGCATTGCCACCACCCACACCAATAAGAGAGCACCTCACGATACTTCCTCAGCCAGTAAAATGGCCAGAAACTGATTCTTCATACATCGCGATGTAGCAAGTGTCAGCATGTGGGCGGCGGCTGTAACCTTTTCAGCTTCTTCACCTTTGGTTTGAGATTTGTGACAATGCACACGCATTGCGACAAGTCAAAATGAAGCTACTCAATGCCACATTCACTTTAGACGAAACCGTGGTCACTAACGATGACATCATGGGCAAAGTCCACACAGTTCAGAAAGCACATGCATGGCCTATGCATACACACTCGAAGCAGGACTACTGAGCAGTGCAGCCGCTGTGGAAGAAATCTGGTACAATAATGGATGGTGAGAATATGCATGCAGTTCCAAAGGGGTGCAATTAAAACATGAGTTGCCAGTGCACCAATTAACACAACAACAAACCAGCTTTCCACAGCCACTAAAGCCTTAGTTGCTAATAACATGACTGTGGACGTTTCTAAATGGCAGCGGCCATCACGGTGTCTCAGGCAGTCGTAAACGCAAATAGGCACGAAGCGGTCCGGTTTTTCTGTCGTTACTACAGTCTACGGTCATTATAATGGGCCCGCATACAACAGACTTTAGGATACGATAGACCATTATTCAACCTAAGTTTCGTCTGTATATTAAACGATTGGAGTGAAGGTCACTTCTAACGAATCGTGATACAATGAATTATCGGCTACAGTGGACAAAATTGAAATCAGCCGCATTAAGCATACTTATGCCGTGATGACGCAGGCTGACAACAGACTTGACCTAACTGCTCTCTTGTGCTAAAGCCACGGTAACTTTAAACTACGGCTGACAACATTGTGGCTTTCTGCCAAGCCAAGCTTCCAGCCAAGCCAGGTGAGAAAGAGCGTAATTTTTATGCAAATGATTCAAATGTCACAGCCGAGTAAAATGTGGTGCAAAGACATTGCATCATTGTTTAAGTGTGCTTGCATATCTCTGATCACAAATTTCTTTTCAAGCTAAGTGTAAATGAAAAGTGTTTTGTTTGTGTCTTGCATTACACTGTTCGTCACTCCTCACTCGGAGTTTGGATATCGTGGATTTCAGATAATGCAGACCCATTTCACCAGATTATCACGGTCTGTTGTTTACCAGAGTACATGTATAATCTTTGTACTGATGACAATGGCAATGCCTTTACATGTCTATGAACATCGTTCTCACTCTTAGTGCCACACCTTTCAGACACTTTGCACTTGGTGCACTGTGAGAATCATTCAATATGCCTAATTGCCACCAAATATGACCGAATTAGTGAGCATTTGACACCATTAAACAATTGATATAGATGCTGGGATTATAGAACAACCAAGTCATCTGATTTCTTGAAATAATGATGGTCACATTAATGAGCTTTAATGCACACTTAGTCATGTGGTGTGTTTTAGTGTTTACAATTCACAACACTTCCCCTAACATAAAAGAAAAGACACCGACTGATGGCATCACATCGATACTCATTCGAGAGTAAAAGTTTCAGAGAACACCTCACATTTGATATGCTACATACCGTATCCTGAGCTGGTCCATCTGGGCCACTAGCCGGTCCCGCTTCTCCACAATTTCCAGCATCTCATTGAGAATCTCTCGCTCCTTTTCAATGTCTCGTGGAGACTTTTCCGAGTCTGCAAAGAAAATATCAGGTGCGTGTCAGGCCACACATCCTGCTGCGTTCACAACTCAGATGTTCCAGTCTACAATGACGCACACCAGTGCGGCACGTCACTTCTGATCCCAATCCATACTACATTTTTTTATTGCAACCAACAATGGTCACTGCTACATGGTTCAACAGGTTGAGTTTGCCATAAATGTCAGCTCAAGTACCATTCTAGAAACAAATTTGCACAGCACACATTGTGATTATCTTGATCCCAGTTGGGCCCCATTGCGATTAAAAGCAATTGTGTAGCTGCATTTGATCCGGATCCAGCCCATTGCTGATAGACTTTGATAGTGATCGAAAGTGTCCGGATGATGCTCTAGTGAACAAGTGTCCCACATGAATAAATGTCCCAGGATCATAAACGAGAGTAACATAGGACACACTGAAATAGAACGAAGCATCAGCATGCAAGGTGTGGGGTGAAACCACACTCGTAAACACAGTTGCATCCCATGGAATGTATTTTTGCATCCCATGAAATGTAAGATCTTGTTACTTCATTTTCTTCATTCCCTCACGCACTTTTCCAACAAATTGAGCTTCTGCCCTGCTTTGACGTTGCTTTCGACTCTGCTTGCCACTTGAAAGAAGTGCTGTACTATTGCCAGTGTATCGGTGGCATTTTGACGTCCGTTGAGAAGTATTACAAAATGCACACACCACTGTTCACAAGTGGGACAAAAAGCGGAAATGGCAAACAGGTGTGAGCGCAAAAAGACATGACGACGCTTGTGGGCGTATGCCAGGGTGCTTGCGATGTGTCATGTGGTTTAGCTCCCTGCAAAGTGTTGCCAGCCCACACGGCACTGCCAGCTTTTTCGTAAAATGCCCAAGGTGTTTCGCGGACAATCTAACAGCAAGCGCTGTTAGCGCACACTGTCTACTAAGGCAAGAAATGCATGTCCCGACTTCCATGAACAATGAGCGTCACGTTTATTGCGGGCAGAGATGCATGTCGAGCTTGTCACGACAAATAAGCGCATGCCATATTGCTAGCGAGCGATAAATGCATGTTGCACTGTTACAAGCTGCCACTCAAGCGTCGCCAGCGCGAAGTCGGCGACGGGAATGACAGCAGGTTGGTTCGTTCCGCACGCAAGCAGAGACAGTGAAGAGATCAGAGACGTGAGAAAACAAAACAAACTTTACTCTAGTGATATTGCAGCAACACGGGATCTCATACAACACTTCTATACAACTAACAAAATACAACGACACTTGATACAATTAATGAAATATATAACAGAAACAATAAATCAGCTTACAAGAGAGAACTATTACAACCTACACAAACTAACACGAATAGAACGACGGAGGAGAAAGTTCGAAAATATAAACAGGTGAAGGCATACGTGTGATGACCGGCAGCGTTGTGTCCCCGACGATCGGATGCGAGAAGTCGAAGAGAGTTCTGGCACGACTGCGATGTCGGCGGTGTTGCAACGCTGGTGGCTCCGGGAGGCTAGTGCTTGCAGGTGACTTCGAGCAGGTTGAGCTAACTCGAAGCGAAGTCCCGATGTCTACGTTGCAGACGTTAATATCGCGTCACAGCTAGACGAACGGCTAAGTTTAGGTGGCCAAGTGTTGCTAGCCCACACGGCACTGCCAGCTTTTTCGTAAAATGCCCAAGGTGTTTGGCGGACAATCTAACAGCAAGCGCTGTTAGCGCACACTGTCTACTAAGGCAAGAAATGCATGCCCCGTCTTCCATGAACAATGAGCGTCACGTTTATTGCGGGCAGAGATGCATGTAGAGTTTTTCGCGACAAATGAGCGCACGCCATATTGCTAGAGAGAGATAAATGCATGTTGCATTTATCCGCGAGCCAAATGCCCCGTCATACCCATGTGGCAAATGCCGGTGTTGTTGCCGATCTCGCCCGACAGACGCACCGATGTAGTGGCGCTAACATAGGAACTGTTGGCTACGCGTCATGAAAAAATGCTGTACATCTGACACCTTGTTGGTGACACCTCTTCCTCTAGTTACCATAGCTTTACCGTACTTGCGCAATCATCACGATTGATCGTAAAGATGTCACGCTCCAGAAGCGGTGCGCGTTCTTTAAGAGATAGCAGTTCCTCTAAATCCGTTGCCTCTACTGCTGACGTCATCAATACGTCAAATAGAAATAAATCGAAGGATAACGATTGTTCGTCGGACCCATTAAAGAAGTCGAATTTATAATTCCAAGTCTACTTAAGAAGTCCGTGTATAGGTGGACTCCAATTATAGGTCAACCCCCGAAATTGAGGAGGCCATTTTATGGAAAAAAACGTCGATTTATAATTGGCAATATATGGTAACATACCAAGTTTCACGAAACTCTGAAGAGCCAGAAGTGGCGAAGTACTAGTATACACTATGAGATCAGTGGACGTCAGGTGTGGAAATTTTAAAATGAACCTTCGAACTTGATTTCGCTCCTCTTTTAATAAACCTATGATGGTAAAATCAACGATATTCGAGTTCTCAAAGTATGATTTATCAATCTAGACCTATTTACAACGCTGTTTAGTGTCTCTTTAATACTTTACAATACATACATACATGAGGGGTAGCGTAGCAGTGCTCACCATCAATGGCCATGCGTTCCCGCATCTCCTGCTGAAGTTTTGACTGTTGGTCCTCTAGTTCCAGGTCCTTGACCCTGTATGGGGAAAGTGCAAAGGAGATCATGGCACAGGACACATTCTAGACCAAGTCTACAGACACTGTGCAATCGCCTCCGACCAAAGAGCAAATCATGGAGTCGCAATGTAAAACTTACGACCTCAGTCTTGCATTGAAAGGAAATGTCAAACTTGAGCTCACTGATGCTATCAGTAAAACGTGGCCAGACATCAGGGGCTCTCTCAGAACTAAGTTTCGGGAAGCTTTAAGAAGTCTTCTGTATAACATCATTCAAATAGCTGATGCTTTTTACGCGCCAAGTTGTTCTAAGTCTAGGCTTTCCCATCGGTTGTTGTGGTGCTGGTCAAGCGATCTTTCGATCTGGCAAGAGTGGGACTCGGTAAGAGAGGAATGACTGCACTGCGCCAAGGTGGGTGAGGGTGAGAATCAGAGAGGGTGAACGAACAAGAGGTACGCTAAGAGAGTGTCCAAGCTCGGTAAAAAGAGTGAACCAACGAGAGGCGCCGAAATATGTGCGAGGATGAGCCTGATGAAGGAAGGGCATGAGCTTCGCTATTTCGACAGTGTTCATGAAGTGGAGTGGGCCGTACTTTTCGGAGTGGGCTGCTGGCAATTAGGGGATGCCTGGAAAGATTAGAAATCTTACACAAGGTCAAGCTTGACCATCTGTTGGCTTAGTGGCAGTTGATTGAACACACCAAACTCTATTCTCGAATCACGAAGCTCCTACATTGCATGTGCACATTGTTTGGACTTCATACAGAAACTAATAAGATAGCAGAAATCTGCTTGAAGTGTCTGTATGCCGTATACACTCTTGTAAGGACCGCACTTTTTTTTTTTGCAATTTTGATGAGGTGCAACCCTTCCATAGAAGTGTGAAAATTTTGTTCGATTTTGAATTCATGTATGAAAGAAGCCATTTAACTGTGCCACATATACCTAACGATTGTATATCTGGCATCTAGCTGCAGAACATCTTCACTAGATGTCTTCATCCGTATCACTGCTCGGGCTCGGCTTGTCGCTGCTGCTTGGGTCATTCACACATTGATGTATCCACATCCACATTGATGAATCCAATCATCCTCACTGCCAGTCTGCATCATTAGAAATCCTGACCTTGAAACTCTTTAAAGTAGTGTTCGTGGACACATTTTAAAATACAAAAGCAGACCAGCTGAAGTGATTTTCTCTTTAGCCGTGACGACACTGCCGTTTTCTGGTAAGGCTTTTTTTTTTTTGTTCGAAATTTAGACTATCAAGTTGGCGGAGCAGCCCTTACACGAGCGCGGACCCATAGTGGAGTGCACACAGTAATTGCTATTGCAATAAAGATTGCTGGATCAAATACCTTATCAGCAGTTCTTGCTCCTCCCTGGATAACTTGTTCTTTTGCCTCATCAACCGAAACAGCACTTGCGTCAGGTCCTTCTCTTCTGCCTGAAGATCTGTAATGACCGAAAACATGAGTACCTAGCATGAGTGCCTAACAACAACATGTTCGCACGTTATACCAGCAACTAAGAGCTGTCCACTTGACAATGAACTAGCGATGGTTAAGGCTGCCAGATAGTCAAAAAATGCACGTAAACACACATTACATACTGGCAGACATTCACAAGTTCAGCACACTAACAAAAACAGGTACAAATGTTCAAAAGGTAGCTCCCGGATCTACTTGCCATTGTGGGGCACAGCTACGACCAGATACATTTCAGGCCTTTCTCTATTGAGTTATCTTTCTTTTTTTATTCGTTGTTTTTATCCTCCCCGATTCCCTTCTTTTCTTTTTGTAACCAATGGAAGAGAAGTGGACGGGCCTTGTTTTTCTTTACTTCATTGCTCTGCCTCCATCTTCCTTACAGTTTCATCTTTTCAGGTCTAAAGCACCTTAGGGTCTCAGCGTATTGGCATGCACCGTCCGTCGTCTGGTGCTGCTGTCGTGACGGTCAATTTGCTTGAGCGCAAGAGAGACCACCTTCTCTCGCCAGGAGAGGGTCTGCTCTTTCTCTCTCTCTCTGTCTTGACACTGCCTCAGAGCTTGCCAGGTAGCAAAAGGGAGGGGACAACGCGTGCTGACTATAATCTTTTTCACCTGCGCTGCACGACCGTTCACCCGCATTCATAAATGTAAACACTGGATCTTGAAGTTCAATGCAGTGCCCGTGGCAGATTTCTATGTGCGTAGTTGATCAACAAATATTTAGAGCATGCACGTTAACTAAACGCGAAATGCTTCCTCCTTCGCCCTTCCCCAGGTTTCACGTTAATGGAGCCAAAATGTCTTTCCCTGCATGCTCCCCGATCCTCCATAGTTTCGTGCTCGGCTCGTGCGGCAGGCCAATTCAGTGCGGCAGCTTCGTGGACTGTCTCAGTCGATGGGCCCGGCTGCTAAGAAACAGCGTGCAATGAACCAGGCATGGAGGGTTTCTTCTTGTTGCCAGACTGTTATCTTCGACAACTATTTTTTAAATTGTCCTGATTTATTTACCTACCGTATTAACACACGTAATGAACCCACCATTTCTTCAAAAAAGTTCAAGCCAATTTGGGGGATGGTTCATTATGCAAGAGAAAAAAGTCGTGGGAGTTACAACAGCAAAAATTTCGCGATGACGGCTTTGCTTGTTTGGGCCCGTGAAATGCGTGACAAATCTTTTTTGTAGCCAGAAGCTCTTTCTGTTTCCTCCTGTAACGAAAGCGCACGGATCAATGCCGAAGCGTCCTCCGGCCGCTCGGTTTTAATGCTTTAGCGCATGCTGTTTTTAACCAGCCGAGTAGCTAGCGTACCGGCCAAATGCGTCCTGCGGAGCAGATGTCCTAACTAAGTTTACAATGACAAGCCCGACAACAAAAAAGTCACAGTTTCGCCGCAAGGTCGAAGCAATGAATGTGATTGCAGCAACTTGGAATGTAACACTGAGAACGGCTAGCAAATTGAAACGTGCAGCGCTGTTCATGCACACATGATGTACAACAACAACACACACAGGACGAGAGCGAACTAACAACGTTTACCACTCGACATTAATGCGCTGTTTAAACAAAAAAGATGCACAAAACATAATCAGACGTACAGATGAGTGCGAACAAGTGTCCCAGTAATTACTTTGCTGAACTTGAAAAACACGCTCTTTTCCCAAATGCGGCCTCTCCAATGAGCAAAGTGATATTTGTGCCCTCGCTCCGGTCAAAGGCAAAAGTGCGTGATCCTTCCCACCAAAGGATAAGCGCGCGTGCACAAGCTTCTAACCCCCCCCCCTCCGCTGGGCAAAGTATGCGTGGGAGATATGGGAGATAAGCACACGTCGCCGCAACCAAATGAGCTGGGCGTTGAGCACGGCGGGCCCCCTTTTTCTTTCTACTTTTTATATAAGACACCGACGACGGCGGCAATACCCAGCCGAAAGTGTTCATGTAACTGTTATTGCAATAAACCGCAGTGTTGGATGGCAGCGCACAAATGTTGTGGGTGCACAACGCACCGTCGGTGTGGTGTGTGTTAGTCCCCTGAATGCGGTTGCGCTTTGCAGGGCCTTCAAGATGGCGAGCGCGCGGCACGTTTCTACGCAGTGGGCGCGCCAGTTTGAAGGCCACATGCTTTGTTTTTGTGCCGCTGTACTTGCATGGCGCTATCAAAAAAGAGTTTTCTCCTGCATTTGAAAGAATGCGCTTCACCGTAACTTTCAAATTTTTATTGACGTCGTCCACGCTCGCCCTGCTTCCAACTGTTTAGCATGATTGGAAAACTACGTTTTCACTTTTATTGCATTGTTATTTTGTGATATAATGGTTTGATTTAACATTGTTTCGATTGCCAATAGCACTGGCTATCATACCAAAACAAAATGAACAGATACATCACAAAACAGTTTTTTTTTTTTAAAGGTCAAGATGGGGGGTGGGCCATTATGCGAGTGGGCCGATTACGCGAGTAAATACGGTATTTGTATACATACAACTAAATGGTGACAACAAACTTGAAGGTAATGAAATTCTTGATGTAACAAAGTGTTTTGCTTTTCACAACTTAGTGTCCATAGAACACCCAGTATTTTGAACCTCAGTATGGTAAAGCATGATTTCCTTCCATCGAAGCCTCAGTTTTACCCCAGAGGAAGACTGGAGCAGCAGATTAAAACCTCTGCTGCATCTTGTGGTCATGTGGTAAGAGTAGGATGCAGTTTTTGTAGCCATTAATTTCGCACACCCCCAACGTGTTTTGGCTCTCATTTCTTTGAGTTTCATGCGTGCATTTGGCCGCTGTGAAGAGGACTTCTTGGCCGGTGCAGCAAGAAACCACAGTTACCATATTCTAGCTTCAAGAGAGAGAGAGAGAGAAAACTTTATTTGCGCATAATGCGGAGCATTCCAAATGGTCGGGCCCCTATTCCAGAGCTCCGCTAAGCCATCTTCTCTACCCGTTGGACCAGCCAGCGCTGATCAGCAATGGCCGAGCTGGACAGCAGTGCCTCCCATTGTTTCTCTGTGTCGTTCATGTTGTGGTGTTCTTCATTGTGATATGTACACTCCCGCGTGATGCGAAACAAAGTTGGTGTGGCCCCACACCACGAACATAAGCCGCTGAACACATACACGAACTTACACAGGCTACAAGTATTCTACCCCACAGCATATAGCTTCAGGAAGACTGATTTTTTTTTTTTTTTTTGCCCTACTGAATTTAATTTTTGAGCTGATGTATCACGAAGCATTCTTCAAGTGCTCCAATGAAAAAAAAAAGAAAGAAATGAAGTTTGTGGTGAGTTCAGCGTTCGTTTAGAAGGTCAAATTTCAATTTGATAAATATTCGATATAATAAAGAAAATTGTGGATTTTACTGACTTCCACTATACCGAGCATGGACATTTCATCCAATTCACTTCTTTCCAAGAGTCCTCCTTTTCAGATTCAAAAAGCTGTGCTGAAGTTATTTACTCAGCTTAAAGGGGCACTAAAGGCAAATATTAAGTCGATGTTGATTGTTGAAATAGCGGTCCAGAAACTACGTAGCATTGCTTTTGTGACAAGGAAGGACTTATTTTGAAATGAAATCACGTTTTAGTGGTCCGCATCGGGTTAGTGCACTTCGAGTTAACCCCTCAAGAAGCGGAAACTCTGACATCACTGTTGCCATCCACAATGTTGCCCCGCTTTACTGCGCGGGCGCAGATACTAGTACAGTCGAACCCCGCTACAACACTAAAGGGCGCGGAAAAAAAAAATTTCGTTGAAGAGAAAATTTCATTGTAGTGAAATCCAAAAAATATAGGCGATCTGAACTAGCAAAACAAAGGAACATTTATTCTCAGAATTTAAAAAGCATCCACTGCTTTTTATTCTGTCCCAGCAGCGTCACGGCCCAATTCTCACCCATGCATAGCGAGGCCACGGTGAAAAGAACTCTGAAACAATGACTACAACCGCTTTCACGAACGAACCAAACAGTTGCATTAACACGTTAACACCAGCAGCTGTCCGCCGTCAAAATGCCTAGATGGCAGCAGGGTATCGTGGAGCAGTGACCTACTGCTCCACGATAGCCTGCTGTGGAGCCTTATTTTATGCCATTCTTATCATTCATCACTCGCGGATAGCTGATTTTGTTGATAATGCGGACGAACAGCCGCTCTGATTAGTTACCACACTGGCCAAGCACGAACAAAATAATAAGCATTGGAATCAGAAAAGGCATCGTTCTGCAGATGCACCCAGGAGCTGCACGAAGAAAGCCATGAACTAAGCAACAGAGCTTGAGCTTTGGATAATCCGCAGCTATACAGTAAACCCAATCTTTAACATTTTGATGCATTTTCAGAACCTGAAAATACGTCGACGAAGTCTGAAACACGCGTTGGCACCACAAAAAACCACCGCTGTTCAGCAAGCATGGGTGCCGTCATTGCTCGATGGCGATGGCAACGAGACTGCCCTGCTTTTGCCAGTTACAAAAGCAGGGCAGTCTCAAGCAGGCCAGCTTTGTATGAATACGCAGGCACCATTTTCAGAAAAACTACAACCAAAACACTTTCCAATTTTAAGTCAACCCGCAACTTCGGATTTCAAATTAAGACAAAATGGGTCGACCTACAATCCTGTGAATACGGTAACTTAGCAACTGTTCACAAAGTCCTAAACACCGAAGCGCTCACCTTCGTCGTCGTCCTCTTCGCCACGGAGCGCTCGCTCCACGAGGACACCCCGATGCTCCAGGGAGCGCAGGCTCACTTCGATCTCCTCGAGTCGCCGCTGGAGCTCCTGGGCCGTCCGCTGTCGCTTCCGCTCTTGCTGACGCTGAACCCGCAGCGTCAGCCGCTCAAGCTTCCGTGGATCGATGGCCTGAATTTGACAAGGTGCACATGCATAAGCACTTGCACACCAGCTCAACAAGAGTGCCGGTCTGTCCTATAAGATGAATCATTGTAACGAAACAAATGTACAAATGATATTGATTTCCTCGGTAGCACTGGGCTTCGAATCGAGGGTTTCAAGCTCGGAGCTTGAGTATCCTTACCTACTGGGCAAGACACGCACTGGGTAAATGTCTTCACTTGCAGAACACGACTACAGCTGGGCTATATACAGGCAACTGCCGATGATTTGAAGTCGCTTAATTGGAATTTTCAGTTTATTACAAGTCATCAAGTGGTCCCATCAATTTTGCATGCATGCCTACAGAAGAAAAGGTTCGGTAACACGAAGTTCAAAGCCCGTACTGTTGGTTAATTAGAAGTTTCTCAGTCGAGAGCCTTGAGGCGACCGTAAATTTCGATAAAATTGGGAATTTTCCATGTGCTAAGGCCACTGAGACAGCTGCCGGACCGCGCTGTTGTGAGCACCACCACTGCCCGCAGAGCCACGGTTCATGAAGCGACCATCTTGTTTAGTCAGCATCGGGGCATTACATTGATCACATTGGCTTACTAGGTCTTTCGTTGTCATGTCTCAAGTGCTTCAGCCGCGTGCTGTATTGAAGTCTGGTTGAAGTTAGAACAGTGGGACTGGACGCTGGAAGAAAAGAATGTTCAAACATACATACAGCGCTGTGTGTTTGTGTGTTCCGCTCCATCCGCGTCCAGGTGCGCTGTTCAAACATGGCATGATAAACCGACCAGCCCGCCAATGCACTCTGGTGCGATTCCAAACGTGTTTGCACAGCTGATTTTGAGTATTTTGGTGGCGACGTTTGACAATGGCAACTCCCGGCCCCGACCGAGCGCTTGACCTGGTGACGAAAGTAGAACGTCTTGAAAGAAGTTGAACAGGGAGACACAGCCAAGCAAGATATCGCATGAAAGTACGGCATTAAGCCTAACTCGCTCTCGAGTTTCATCAAGTTCAAAGAGGTGAATTCGACGACAATCGTAGTTCTAGGGCGGTTCTAAGTGAGGTCCGTTTTACGAAACTAGTTGCCGTGGACTTTGATACATGCAGTCTACTAAAGAACAGAAAAAATGTGCAGATGGTTCAGCTAGTGAACGGCGACATAGAAACAAACTGCCACCGAGGACAACCGATGTTGGTGCGGGTCTTGCTCTTACACTGCAGTTTTTATGTTTTGTTGGAGGCAATGCTTCGGCATGTGTAGTGCTTGGAGAACTTGCTAGCCGTAGCTATTTCGGCAAGAGAAGATGACAGACTGCTTTCTTAAAGAACTGTCTGGCTTGAGGCAATAAATGTGCAGCTTTTTGTGCATTTAGCTTAATTATAATTTCGTTTAATTCAAACTTTTTTGCAGCTCCCGTGAGCTTCATATTAATGGGAGTTGACTGCAAATGTAGCATGCCAGCTGTACAAAACAAATGTAAGATAACACTTTCTATGAAGACTTTGCTGAAATATCTCACGGTGGCGAAATAAAAGTCACTGTAAGACAAAGCGTAAAGCCAACATAAGGAATAGATATTGGAGAAATCCAGACCAAAATAAGTGTTTTCATGGTCATGGGATGTAGGTATGCTCCATGGAGTAACTCCAGACGCACATGAACACTAAAAATCAGGCCAAAGCCGCTGCGCTAATGCTGCCAGAAAACAACCTTCCAGCAAGGCTTCACCAACCAAGTTTCCTACAATGACGTACACTCATACCTCACTATAACAAAGTCGCATCTGCCACAAAAATACTTCGCTATATCCGGAAATTCGTTATAAGCGATTATTTGTAACACTGTATTTATGGCAAAGCTAGTGGTCGCTTACTTCCTTATAACCAACAGTTCGTTACATTTGAATTCGTTTTATCGAGGTTTGAGTGTATCAACTCCTACACATCACTAAGACAACTCCTAAAAAAGATTTTGCATGGAGTTTCTTTTTATTGGCATGAGCACCAAGTCACAGTCTTTGCTGTCCTCCAGACCACCCTGTCTAGCACAAGTGCAAGTGCTTACAAACCCTTATAAAAACCCTTATAAAAACAAAAACATGCATAAAAGGGATGGAATCGGTTAAGCAAAGGGTTGTAGATAGAAGAGTGGACAATAAGGTATGTTGTAAGATAAAACAGGAGACATATCATCATCATCAGTCTGACTACGCCCACTGCAGGGCAAAGGCCTCTCCCGGGTTCTGCCAGTTGACCTGGTCTGGCGATACTTGAAAACGACTCAATTTCATCTGCCCACCTAACTTTCTGTCTCCCCCTCAAGTGTTTGCCTTCTCCAGGAATCCAGTCAGTTACCCTTAATGAACACGGGTTATCCTGCCCACGGACTACGTGCCCAGGCCCATGTCAATTTCTTGTTCTCGATTTCAACTCTAACATCCTTAACACCCGTTTGTTTCTTCACGCATTCTGCTCTTTTCCTGTCTCCCAAGGTTACACCTATCATTTTCCTTTACGTCGCACACTGCGTTGTTCTCAATTTCAGTTGAACCCTCTCTGTAAGTTGAACCCTCTAACAAAGAGACATGTAGTTAGTAGAAAATATTGTAAACACAAATTACATATCAAAAACACACCAGATAACATCTTTCTTCGTCCCGTTTTTTGTGCTGTTTCCCTCAGTCTCATGTACCAAATGGCACTTCAAGAAACCCTTCTGCAGATAAGATTATTGTACCACAATATGAGTCAGACTTCAATCAAGCACTTCTTCGTACTTTGATTAGGTGCATTACATAAATTTAGCAGTGCGTGAAACACGACACGTTCCTCAGTCGCGATGACAGAGGAATATTCTAGTGATTTTGAGCACGAGCGAGTCAGGTTAAGAAAAACATTGATGAATGCGAGTTCGAGAGAGCCCTATAGACATTGCAATGGCCATAGACTGCCGCACCGCTAAGCGGAATGCAGGAACGTCCTCTCGTGGATGGCCAGCGGGCAGACCCACCCTTCGTTGACTGTGCTAGTCTGAGTGTCAACGCGTTTGCAAGAAACGAGGACAAACCACTTTGCATGTTGCATGCATCAGTCAATAAACCGCACCGTCTGTAACGCAATAAATCTCATTCATTCTTGCGAAAAGTCACGCCGCTGTGGTCTAGCGGCTAAGGTACTGCACCGTCTGTAACACGATAAATCTCATTCATTCTTGTGAGACGCCACACTACAGTGGTCTAGTGGCTAAGGTTCTTGGCTGCTGACCCGCAGGTCGCGGGATCGAATCCCGGCTGCGGCGGCTGGATTTCCGATGGAAGCGGAGAAGTTGTAGGCCCGTGTGCTCAGATTTGGGTGCATGTTAAAGAACCCCCGGTGGCCGAAATTTCCAGAGCCCTCCACTACGGCATCTCTCATAATCATATGGTGGTTTTAGAACATTAAACCCCACATATAACTGAATCAACACGAATGTCGAATAGATATGTAAGAGCAGTGGAATCAGTGTGAGGGCTACTTCAAAACACATAACGCTTGCACAAGGTCACTTTATGTTAATTTCTTAAATACAAATGCATTTCTTAGTCGGCCTATGTCAGGTGGCCTTTGGGATCCGTTCACCGCCCTCTCCCATAGCAACAGCTGCGGGCGAGAGCTTATCCTCGCCCCTAGCAGCTGGAACACCTCCTTTCTTGACTCTCCACAGCGTCTATGCAGGGCGTTTGAAACGCGTTCGCAGCGTTTGTGTAGCATTTGTGTTGATAAGATGATGACATTATGACCGTCAGGTACAATGACAACACTAACAGGTGCTGATGAATATGTAAATAAATGATTACGGTACAGATCTTCGTCTCGTCGATAATTTACATCATTGAAATTACTTCGCCATGTACTCTCTGCGCAAGAAATGCACTCGCATTTCTTTACGATGCCGAGAAGGTGGGACATTTTTTTTCTTTACTAAGTTCTCTGCACATGCATATAAATGTAACTTTTATTTTGGCAGTGTTAGCTGAGGGTCACTGCTTGTTAATTGAGGCTGCGTTCCTCAACCATAATAGTTTGCTAAAATTAACTAAAGAGGACTCTGGCACCGTGATCATTCAGCAACCATGGGAATGATGGGTAGCGCATAATTTGCCCAGTCTTCGTGCTTGCAGGCTTTAAACGCACTTGTGGCTTTGTTTATTGCCGAGTTTTTTTGTTTTGTTTCGAATAAAAGAACAGACCATTGTGAACTTCATGACGCAATTCGAATTGGTGGGCCTAAAAGGCGGAGAAGTGCGACTGCTGAACATTTGCCGACTGTCGTCTCGTGACAAAGCAGCAAGCAGCTCCAAGACATGCGGAGCCATACGGGACCGACAGTACGAAGATTAGACAACTTTCTGCACTAGCCACCATTCCCATGCTGGCCAGAGCACAATGCGTTGCAGCTGCCATAGACACCAGCACCAGAGTTACCTCTAGCCTATTTAGAGGAAACTCTATGGCCTCGACCTCCTGCCCCACTTTCCATGTAGCACACAATGATGTAAGGTTTCCCGAGCACGCCTGCTTCACACATGCTAATAATCAGTTAGCACTGCCATGTATGCCTCACTGCTACAGCACCACTTAGTGTAATATGGTACATCATTTGGTCCTACCTTGGCCCTTTTGTCACTGGTCCCACCAGCTTCAGCACCTCCATCGAGGTCCCGGTCGTCGGAGTCCGCAAAACCGTCTTCTTCGCCTTCAAGTAAAGAAACAAACAAATGAGCAAAAGCAGACATTAATGCTACCTTGCCTTTTGCTTATGTACTTAAAAACAAAAAAGTGTCCAACATAAAAGCAATTCTACTAATAATGGGATGTCTGCTTGTTCTCCAAACTAAGGAGTAGCTTGTTGAAAGCAATAGGATTTGAAAAGCTCCAGCAGTTCACCGTAAAAAGAACACCTACAGAGTATTCTTGCCCGCTGTGTTTCACTTTCACTACAACCTGTGCAGCATGCAGGAGGCCATCATCCCTATTATAATCATTGTAATCATCCCTATGCAAGCACCTTGCACATAATAATATCTGGGGTTTAATGTCCCGAAACCACCATACGGTTATGAAAGAAGCTATGGCATTGAGAACCCCCAGCACCCAAATCTGAGCACACCGATCTACAGCATTTCTGTCTCCACTAGGATTCAATCTCGTGACCTTTAGGTCAGCAGAAGAACCATAACCATGGCGGAAGCACCTAGCACAGTATATGCATTTTCTATCAATGCATTATGATAAATCCTAGGATACCTTTGTCGTCCACCATTCAAGGCCGGCCTTATATAATATGGGCAGGCCATCACTCTCAACACTTGCCAATTGCGAAAAGCACAAATAGAAATTATCATTGGAAAAGGCATCGCTACAAAACACCAGCCCCAGTGTAAATAACAGGCTCGTGAACAGTTCACCATATTCATGAAATGATGACTGTCAATTAAGGAATGCTTCAGTTACATGTTTTCATTTCAACCTTATCCCAGCTTATGTGACGACAGCAACAATGTGAAGGAAAGCGCAGCCAGTAACCATGGTACTGTAAAAGAATAATAAGGTTCGGCAAGCGTGCGCAGTCGGCTTCGATGGTTGTCGGGGCTTTTGACCTCGTGTCCTGGGCGTTCGCCCCCGTCAAGCCTGACCTGGACGCCTGCAAGACGTCAGGCTGTGGGACATCGACATAAGCTCAAGCCAGCGAAGTACACGAGAAGGCGTGGTCCCACCATGGACACTACCGTGACAGACTCGACGCGACGTTGCCCGGTCACCGCAACAACGGTGCGCGTGAGTGTGGTCTTGTACATTTGGTGTCGAGGGAGTGAAGCACGCTGACCGTAACGACATAGACTTTCCTCTCGCGTGGAAGGATGGTGGTATGTGGAGTTTACCGTCCCAAAACCACGATATGATTATGAGAGACGTCGTAGTGGAGGGCTCCGGAAATTTCGACCACCTGGGGTTCTTTAACGTGCACCCAAATCTGAGCACACGGGTCTACAACATTTCCGCTTCCATCGGAAATGCAGCCACCGCAGCCGGGATGCTCTCGCGTGGAAGGAACTATATTGCAGACTTTCCATGTATTATTGTGAGATCCCTTCGTGTGTGATCTTATCCCCGTCCAATATAAAGAACGTCTTCGTGTTATCAGGTTGTCTTGAGCGCACCTGATGACCTGGGCCCATTGAGTAAACCCTCTTACTCCCCGAAATTGGCGAGCCTTGCCAGGATCAGCCCTTACCATCTTTCGGCCGAGAATAGGTCACACATAGGATGCCTGTTAATATGCAAAGACTGCTTTGTATTGGAGAGGAGGTCAAAGTGGTCTTGCGCCAACATAGAGCGAATGTTGCAAGAAGACCTTGAAGAGGAACGTGAGAGAATTGATTTTGAACTGCGGTGCATGTGAAAAAATGACAATGAGTGTGTGCGTTTGCGACGGGAAGGAAAGAAGCTGTTTTCTGAGATAAGCGCAGCTATCTTGGATATCCGAGAGATTGCAAATTGGGTAGCAAATCAATCCTCACAAGGATGAGATAGTTATCCATGATGTTGACACAAGTCTGTCAGGTACACTTGAAAAAGTGTATGTTGGAGAATGTGATGATGTAGCTCTGGGTACACGGTCTGCAAGTGAATGTAAGCAGACATGCGATGGCATTGAAGGTGACAGAAGTACAGAACAGCATGGTCTCTGCAGTCGTCAGCTGAAACCTCTCGGCCAAGCAAAAAGCATGTCATATGTATCTGAGACTTTTGCTTCGGAGCCCGACGAAAAGCGAGTGGCAATGACAAACCCTAAAATAGAGCCAGAAGATGATCAAGATTCGAGCAAGAGGGGTCGGAACCCCCAGAGTAGTAGTGGAGCTAGGATCGCTGTGAGCCCAAAACATGGTACTCCGTACCGTGCAGAGGCAAATGAACTTCGAGACAACTGAAAGACGTGGCATGCTTTGGACTACGTAGCTTGACGCTCAGACCCCGATGTTTGGATTGTATACTCTTCCATCTATATGAACATCGAGAAGTCACTGCAGTACACAGAAGCACATAGGAAAGAAGAACTCTGGTTCTGTGCTAGTACATGGAAGAAAAGGAGGAAGAATACAAACCTTGTTGACCGATTCCAAACTAAACTGCAACCTGACGATGGACTTCGAACTGGATGCATAACAGCAACAAAGGTACCAAGCTAAAGGCATCCCTATATTCTTCAACACCTCGACACCGTGAAGTTGCACGCTACATGAACTACTTCAACCGGGCCAGTCAAAAAGTGTGCAACTGTCCTAAAGAGAAGAGAAGAATGTGATTATGATGACCGCGCCATAGGGGCAAAATCGGAGTGGAAAATTCACTGGAAGGGGACAAGATAGAACACTGTGCCAGGGAGCGTACGCGGGCGGCTTCGATGATTGTCGTGGCTTTGGACCCCGTGTCCTGGGCGCTCGCCCCCGTCGAGCGTGACCTGGACGGCAGCAAGACGTCAGGGTCCGGGACATCGACGCAAGCTGGAGGCAGCGAGGTACAAGAAAAGGCGTGTTCCCACCATGGACGCTACCGCGAAAGACTCAACGCCACGTTGCCCAATGCTACGGTCACTGCAAGGAGGGTGCCCGTGAGTGTCGTCTTGAAAACTTGGTGGCGCAGGAGTGAAGTACTTTGAGTGTTAAGATGTAGACTTATGTCTCGCGTGGACAGGAACTTCCCAGCAGACCCTCTTTAACCTTGTATCATACTGATGTTCTTTGTGAGACTTCTTCGTGTGTGTTCTAGTCCTTGTCTGATTTAAATAATGTCTTCGTGTTATCAGGTTGTCTCGAGTGCGTCCGATGACCTGGGCCCATTGAGTAAACCTCTCACTCACCACAAACAGATCACTGTGCACTTCACTGGCGCATTTGAGTAAATTAACGTAAGAAGTGTTCAACTATATTCCCCATTTGATATCATTGCATGAGTACAGTACTAAGTTACAAGATTAACAAACTTCGACAGTGTGGAAAGTTTCCTAGGGCAGCTGTTCTAATTTGTTTCCCCATACGTCAGTGGCAACATCTTGAATAATCGTAACTTACTTTTAGCACACACTGACGCATGGACACAGAGAGGGAACAACACTAGGGCTTGTTCCCTCTCTGTGTCTGCGGTTCAGTGTGCGCTAAAAATAAGTTATGATGCACTCATACGAACTAGCTCGTCTTGCAATATTAATCTTGAAAAAGGTTCAGCAAGTATGTGAAATTTATATACATGCCTCGCACATACAATCCTTAGAGTTTGCAAAAAAAAAAAAAAACTGACCTGTGGCTCTCGGTGCTGTCATGATGCCAAACTCGATGCTCCTGCTCTTTGCCGGCAGCTGCATCGGCTGCGACTTGAGATTGTCCAGGCTGATGTGCTTCTTCATCTCCTCCCGAACAACGGGTCGAGTTTGTTGGTGCGAGTTCTGCCTGGACACCGACGAGGTGGCGCCAGCTGCTCTGGGAACGGCAGGCTCGGGAGAGGCGTTGACTCTCTCTGTTGAGCAAGGCGCACTGTCAGACTTCGCTGCCGGAGCTTTCTTTGGCGAAGAGGACTTTTCGGGCCGCGGCGTCTTGGACAGCCTCAACCTGGAAAAGCTCTTTGTCCTTTCGTTCTCGGCGACATCTTTGGCCGCCTTTTCACGATTGTAGCTCTCCTTTTTTTCTTTTGTCGTTGCTGCCGAGCTGTCGCCTGCACTGTTGCTTCGGTTAAGCCCAGGAAAGACAAGAGGTTTCTCTTAGTTGTTGATGCGGCTGGAGATGGTACGGTCTTTCGGTCGTCATCCTCATTCCTGGCAAACAGGCGTCGCTTAGGCTTTGGTGGTTTGGGCTTCCAGACGTCGGCCCGGATTTGGTATGGATCCATGAGTGTTATGCCACCCACAACCACGTCATCGATCCCGTCGAGATCGTCCGTAGATCTAGCCGGTGACGCAACTGGTGTGGTGGAATCGTTGCCGTTGTCGTCCAGGCCCCCTCCAAATTCGTCATCTTCAAACTGTGCCAGTCTGTGTTGAGCTGTGCTGAAACTACGCAGTGATGACCTGTCATCTAGTGCATTGAATGTCTCATCTTCTTGGTCCAGGAGGTCGGTAAGCGTAATCTCGTCAAAAGCCGGTGTGCGTGCGTACTTTTTCCGGTAACTGCATGGGCTCAGACCTAGCTCCTCATCACTTTTTAGCCTAGCACGTTCACGGGCTTCGCGCCTCGCTCGTTCCCGTTCGGGGTCGGTGGCAGCGTGCAGTGCTGAAAGGTAACCGGGACGCGAGGTTGGAGGTGTTCCGAAAGTCTCGGTGGGTGTATTGGCCTCGGGTGGCGTCCTGAACTCATCAAAGTCACCGGCCAGACTGAGACTGTCAAAGTAAGGCAAGTTCTGTATGTCTTCGTGCACGCTCTTGCGAGCAAGTTCTCTTCGGCTCATCAGCATGGCCGTCACCGGGTCGGCACAAGGACGCAGCGGCGTTGATGTCGACACAGGGAAGCTCTCTGGAAATTGATTAGGCCTAACACGAATCCGCGGATCCGCACTTTTTACAGGTCTCTCGATCTTCACAGGCGCTGAACGTGCCAAGGGAGGTTGATTGTTCTGTGCTGCCTGCCCTGTCCCTCCGACCGTGGTAAGACCGCGGTCCAAGTCCAGCTCTTCACAGGATCCGCGGCTGCTGGGGGACGAGGAGCGGATCGAGGGGAAGTCGAGTCTCTGCAAGTTGATGTTAAGAGACCTGAGGTAGATGACATCCCCCGAGGGCACCTGGAGCTCACCACTTCCAGCGCCAGTGCCTTCACTCGAGCGGCTACGAACCTTTTCCACAAACGAACCGCCATAACCTTGATACCTGGGCGGTTCACGAATGGGCGAGTGGCCTTTGTTATGTCTAGATACCTCTGCAACAGTTGTATCAACTTGTAAACTAGTTTTCACGTCCTGGCTCCCAGTGACTGCGGTTAAGGCAGTGTCGAGGGGTTGAGAAGGCTCTGTGAGGCGCTCATGCAGCGCTTCCTGGCTTGTTTTCAGGTGCTCAACATTCACAGCCTCTACAGTTTCTGCATTTTCCCTGTTACCAGATGAAACTCTTCTTCTCCTGCGCCTGCGAGTAACGTTCCTGTCGTCGAAACTGAATTCTGCCTTGAGGTCTTCAACGACGGACAGAGACTCTTTGTCACCACCTTCTCTAGCCCACTCGGAGACTGTGAAGTCGTCTCCATCACTTTGCTGGCCCACGGGCGTTGCAGCAGCGACTGGGGGACCCAACGCCTCCTGGACCTCTTTCATTGTTTCTAGAAGAGTCTTCTTTGACACTGAAGGCTCTGATCTGTTTTGCTGCAGTCCTCTCCTGCTGAGATCAGATGCCGTGAGATCATCTTCATCACTCATGCTCGCGATAGGGGCATGCAGTAGCTCCCTAGGAACGGGATGCGGAATGGGAGACGGCACTACAGGGTCTTCAAAGGTGGCAAGCTTGTCAGCAGTCGCTCGGAAATACTTCCTGGTCGCTGATAGACGCTGAACATGTCGTGTCCTCAGTCGGTGACATCACTTTGTGGCGACAGAAATGTCTGGCAGTCACACGCTTTTGATCTGGTAGTTCTTCTTTGTTCAAATCAAGGGCTAGTTTTGTTCTGTCAGCTACCTTCTCACTACCTCCTTTACTTCTTGCACTTGCTTCTTGTTCATCTGCTCCTACATCATTTGTTTCTATTAGACTTTGAGGTTTTGTTGTAGGTAAGTGAAAGACATCTAAGCTCTCTTCATTGAGGCAGGTAACAGGATGCGCCAACTCCATATTGTCAATGGCACATCCTCTCTTTCCTTCGAGGAATTGAGCAACGTGAACCCCAGGAGTAACCTGATCAAGTAAAGATCCTGTTGGAGACGTGTCTCCGTCGTCTGCATGAAGTGCCTTGCGGTGAATGACTGTTGCTTCTTCAATGGTGTCTGTTGTTGACGTTTCTGACGAGTCCGGGCGGTCAGACAGGGCAGTCATAGAGACTTGTAGAAGAGTTCCTTCTGACAGCTCTGGTTCTCCAGAAGCGGTCCTAGAAACAACCTTGTGACCTAGAGACGCGCATTCCCTGGCATCGAAGGGTGTCTTAGTGATGTCGGGGGAGTGTTCCCTCAGCACAAGAGGCCCATGCTCTTCGGAGCTCGAATCGTCTGCACCCGATGACTTTCCATCCCCCCTGCTTGACTCCGAGCGAAGAGATGAGGAGGCAACCGAAGAGCTTGCTCCACTCTCTCGGCCAGACAGCCTTTCGAATCTGACTGCAGACGACTCGGAAGAGACATCACCATCCGATTCGAATGTAGGCTCCAACTCTCTTTCAGGAGTTGGCAATGCCGAGCTTCCACTAGAGCCCCCACGATCCACGAGGAGGTCGTAGCCTAATTTGCCTTCCTCGGGCGAGTGGTCCGCCTTTGAAGATGTCGTGGCGCTCGACAGAGCCGTTGCAGTGCTTACATCGGAGACATCTGTGAGAGAAGGCGACTCCAGGTTTTCCACAATGGCAGGAACTACCTCTCCAGCAGCATGAACGGGCTCCGAGAACTTGTCCATGTTGGACGAAGAGGACAAACCTGAAGAGACACTGGCATTTGCCAAGCTTTCGGCTGACCTTGACAGCCCTGAAGACTTTTGTACGGAGAGTTGATCACTGGACGTCTTGTTGTCATTGGATGTCTTGTTGTCGCTGGACTGTGGACCGACGGGTGTCATCTGCTCATCACTAAGCCGGCTCTTGGGCACAGCACTGGAGCCCAAACGTGAGGCTTCATCAACAACTGTGCCTGCTTCGGGTTCCGATGCATCATCATCCACATGACCCAAAGCAGCCCGCACCTCTTTGGGACCCCAGTCAAGCTCGGTGTCCTGATCCCCCGGCGTGGTGTCGATGACAATCACGGGAATCTCGTGTTTTGGAGGCGGGGGTTCTTCCTCCGACTCGGATGACACGTCGGAAGAACTCATCGTAATGCCTTCTTCATCCGATATGTATTCGTCATCTGATCCTTGAAAAATGAAACAAATGAGAACAAATTATAGTAAGAGATAGCCAAAAGATTGGTACAAAAAAATGATATTGCTAAAAACATAGAGAATACTTTATAAAAGTGCTCCTAAATTTCCTGAATACTATAAAATAGACACGGCAAGTTCCTAACCTGCAATATGCTGGATATTCACTGCAGCCATGAGGGTATTACATGCAGTTGTGCAAAAAAAAGTTACAGCACATGACCTAAATGCACTTACAGAATTTTTTTTTTTTCAATAGCTGAAACACAATTATGTTTCTAGAAGGCAAACAATCCATGCCATATAAGGTAGTTAACAGAGCTAGGATCACTTTAAGTTATATCCTTTTTACTTTTCAGCCCACTGTCATGAAAAAACAATGTCATTACATGAAACCAAGGCAGAGAGTCTCTTGCGAGAATATTGCAGTAGCCCCTGATGTCTCACCCACGAAGAAATTAAATCCTTTCAAGCAACTCATTATTCTGAAATTCTGAGCAAGATCAGCCTTATTATTTTCGACGAGCTGTCCTTCCTACTCCCCTGGAATAAATAGGCTCTTGCTTCTACAGAGCTCAACCAACATGCTTGTCTGCGAAACGTTGGAGCGCTGCGCTCCAGACTGCTGGACTACAAGTTACACCTGGACCTTCACATCCAGACATAACGCATAGCTATTGATAGTCTGTGTTTGAGCATGAATTGTTAGTGGCCATGCATGCTCAAATATAGGCTTCCTCTGAGCTTCCTCTGAGCTTCCTCTGAGCAGGTGTTGTTGAAAGATATCATACCCATGTAGTACGTCTAGTGTGGTTCGATCTTGTGGGGTTCAATGTCCCAAAGTGACTCAGCTATGAGAAACGCTGTAGTGGAGGGCTCACGGACGAGTTCGACGAGCTGTGGCTTTAAAGCAAAAGCTTTACTGACACTGTCGAGCAAGTTTCCCTGTTCGTTTCTGTGCAATCTCGAATCAAAGATTGAGTGCCCTGTGACAAGCCGTGCATAATTTAGTTGTGACGTTGCAGATGTGCCAGGGCCTATGGTGGACGCGTTCCGTTGGCTTGTCTGTCTACCTCTCTGAATGCCCTTCCTCAGTGTCCGCAGTGAAAACACAAGGAGCGTGCGCACCTACCCGCAGGGGAGAATGAAAGCACCAGCGTTCGTTGGTGGATTAGGGGCCCAGCATTTCTCGCATCAACTGCGGCAAGAGATTCGGAAGTCAGTGAAACATTGTGAGTGCACACGGCACGAAATGTTTGGCTAGCCATATTGTTCGGTTGGCAAACTGCTTTGGCTACAACGGTAAACAAGCATAACCACGTAAACAAGCGTTCGCTTGCATAACTAAACCTAGCCAAGTTTGCCGCAACCATTTTTGTTTAATGCACATTGATGTCGCACGGTACGCAGGCCTCTACAATTCAGCCCCAATCGAAATGAAACCACGATGGCCAGAATTAACCCTGCATTTTTCATGTCGGCATCCAAGCACCCGAACCATTAAGCCATCACAGTAGCCATCCCGTAGCTAGCGTCATAGACAATTATGTTGCTTCACGTATAGCGTGCTACCATCTTCATCAGCACAGCAAAGTTCCAAGGCAAACGAGGTCATTTATGGGCAACTCCAGAAAAATAAAAGCACTGTTAATTGGTGAACTGAGCTTGTCCGTGGCCATTTTTGCCAGAAAAGTGCGTGCGAAAGCAGCACTGAATGGCTTTAAGTGAGCACAAGTTTGGTTGGCACTACCTATTAAACAATGACTCACCAGTAGAGCCCTTTTGTTCGCCTGCTCCCTTGTCAATGTTGAGAATGGGAACCGGTACTGAGACCACATTGTCTTTGCCGTTCTCACACATTTGGGCTGATGCTGCCCTTCCGTGTTCGTCTGTTGAAAAGAAAAGCAGCAAATATGCTTCCGTGAGGCCTTATACAGAGAGCAAACTTGCAACACAAGGCGATACTGCTGTATAAATTGAAACTCAAATGTACCACGAAAATGATCAGTGCGAAGGCATCAACCACTGTGCATTTATGACAGCACTATTGTGTGGTTATCACAGGCTTGCTCTAAAAAAAATGCAGAGAGAGAGAGTCTCGCCATTGCGGCAATGAACATAAACTCCGGAATCTCGAGTGGTCTGCTTGATTTTCCTGCTGCATGTCCCCAATATCTAAATGTGGCAACGCAGAGGCTAATCAGTGTGAATTCTCACGTTTAACATAGCTTGCCTTGTCGTAGCAGGTTGTTGCTTCTGAGTGCACCACGTGCAAAGAGAAATTGTGGAAACTGTCAGTGGAAACTGGAATGTAGAAAGAATATACGCTCATTTTTCAAGTGCATGGCACGTTGACCATTTCGGCAAGAGATGCGTTTCAACCACGGTTCGTTCCCCGCACCTCAGACTAAATGTGACACTACACGTCTATATTGGAACGTTGAAGCCCTGATGCCGAACGCTACTTATACATGCGGTGTAAGTGAAGAGTGCACACTTAAAACAGAGACAGAGCGAGCGAGACAACACGAGTGCTCCGTCCCTGTTTTTGCATTATGCACTGACAAGCCCAGGCTGTTCTTCTATGTATGCGGTATTGCCATATAAAATGAGGTCATGTCAGTGCTGCCATCTAGAAGAGACTATTACAACACAAGATAGACTAATGGCTACAGCTTCTGTGTAACAGCTTCTGTGTGACAACTTCCAATAGTATGCCTTTGCACATCTGTCATCACTAAAATCTGTGGGGTGGGAGAGGGAGTACATTAAAATCAGGCTACACTAGTCGCAGCAGCACCATACAGAAAAGAAAAATAGTTTTATAAGCCAGCTCTGCAAAATATGAAAGTAGTTTTATAGCTGTAGTGTGCCTGTGTATGCATAGTTGTGTAGAATAACTAGGGGAAACATGAAAAAGAAACAACCAATAATATTCTGGGATTCTATACGTATTTATAAGGCGTGCAACCATAGTCAGGGAATCCACATTGATTTTGAATACCGAGGTTTCGAAAGGAACGCGCACCTAGATAAAGCTACGTGAGTGCTCAGAATTCTGAGTGAGTTGCTGTGAAACATTTATAGATTGGTGTATGAACGTTACATTGCTGTATGTTACATGTAGGCATGTAAGCATGTTACATGCTGTATCTTACATGTAGGCAAATAACAAAGGAAACAACACAGGACTGTAATTTAAATGCTAAACAATCTTCCTAAGTACAGAGAAGCGTTGAAGAGGAATAGTGAAGATGAAGAAACAGAGGGAAAGAAAAAAAGAGGCGAAAGAAGCACCAGTTACTCGAGAGAATGCTATCGCAGTCCACGTCAGCAAACGACACTTCAGTGGATGGTTGATGCGCACTAGCGCCGTCCCTCCATCATGCGTGTTAGCAAAGGAACCCTGCCATTCTTGTGTCCCCCCCATGTCGCTGCTTGTCTCTAGCAGCATTCTAGCCTGCGGAAAGCGTGTCACATGGGTCACTCTCAAAGGAGCGCTGACACGATTTCAAAGCACCCCGAAAGGGACATTTTTCGTTTCCCGGTGTGCTCTATCAATGCTCTCCATATGCCGAAGCCAGACAACGCATGTGAAATATTTTACTTAGATTTAAAAGTTTTCCTCCCACAGCGTCTGCAAGACAGCCTCTTTCACAATGGACGTCACGACGACGAGTCAACAGCGCTCACCGAGTTTGCGAAATCTGCGTCCTGCACGTAGCTCAATTCGTAAAAATTGCTGTCGGTGTCTGAACGACCATTCTCTCGTCGTCGTTTTTGTGAATCACGCGCGACTGAAAGTAAACTGTTAGTGTGTGGTGAGCTGCAGTCTTCCCGTGACGTCAGACTTGTGTTGACATGTCACAACATGGCCGCACCATCGATAATGAAATGGAAATTGATGTTTTAAGGTAGTGGTATTAAATATATATTCAACACATTTCCTTTTTAAGGTTCTCGACAGCAGAGTTTATATCTCAAGCAACAGCCTGAAGATATTAAAAATTTTTGTCAGTACTCATTTAATAGCAAATTGCTTGTCTTGGTCCATTTAATAGGTCATTTGAGAGACACTACAGCTACAGCTGAGGTAACGCATTTAACCTTTCTTCAGTGAAATGCCAGGCCCCTTTCAAGAGGCAAGAATACTGGCTCCTGGCAGCCATATATGCATGGCTTAGATTTAAAATGAAAGGCAGAGGGGGAAAAGAGGGGTGCTTCAGGAAGTCAGGACCTTCCACCAAAAGAGGTGGAGGGGCCTCTTGTGTGATGGTCACCAATACATGTAAAGTACATACCCCCCCCCTCTGCAATAACATACATACAAGCAGTCCATGTGGGTTTGATAAATCATTATTACCTGGGGTTTAATGTCCCGAAACAATGATACAATTATGAGTGACATTGTAGCGGAGAGCTCTGGAAGTTTCAACCACCTGGGCTTGTTTAACGCGCACTTAAATCCAAGCACATAGGCCTGAAGCATTTCCGCCTCCATCGAAAATGTGGCTGTCGCAGCTGGTATTCGATCCTGTAACCTTCGGGCCAGCCGTTGGGTTAAGTTGGGGGAGCCCCCTTTGGACAAGAGGACTTTTCAACACTTGCGTGTACAGTTTTCGTCATGGCATTTCTATGTCCTTCTCTTTTCTTTACATTTACGGTAGTGTACCTTTTCGCTATGTTCTCTCGGTGTGTTATCCTTACCCACACGCATTAAACAAATCGGATGTACAGAAAAAAAAAAGAAACAGTAAAAATTCCCACAATATAATGCCAACATATCTGTACTCTCTGCTTTCTTTCACCACAAAACAGCTGCTGCTACTGCTGCTACCGCTACTACTACTACTACTACTACTACTAATCGCTTGACATAGTACACGAGAACTTTTCCAGCCATTCGGCATCTGCATACAATGGCAGCCTACTTTTGTTATGAGGCGCATATAAAGAAATTCACATGTACTTCCTGTGGGGTGAAGTCCGGAAAGAATGGTAATGTATTCTCCCATGTATTTCTCGAAAAGAAGCTCCATGAGATTTGCAAATTTGAAATGTCTCAGTTTGAAGTAAAGTACATTTTGCTTTCAAGCAACGATCGCACGTGCTTAGATTGTCGAAAAGAAATCTAATAACAATAAATAATATCTGGGGTTTAATGTCCCGAAACCACGATACGAGAGACGCCGTAGTGGAAGGCTCAGGAAATTTTGGCCATCTAGTGTTCTTAACGTGCACTGACCTCGCGCAGTACACGGGCCTCTACCATTTAGCCTCCATCGAAATGTGAACGCCCCGGCCGGCATCGAACCCGCGACCTCTGGATCAGCAGCCAAGCAACCTAGCCACTGATCCATTGAGGCAGACTGAAAAAAAAAATCGATGGAATTGACAGAAAACTGCCTCAGTGATCACCATTTAAAAGATAATGCCGCTGTTTACAGCACCCTATTGGAAAACCTAGGAATGAAAAAGAAAAGCAAAAGATGGCACAGTTACTGCCATAGCTTCATCAGCATACAAAGAGTCTATTTCCTTTGCAAGGAATAAGCTCACGAGTGCCAAAATATTTGCATATTATTACAATTTATTTTCCCTATGCATTCCTTGCTTTCATTATATCCTCACTTTTTACAGTTTTTACAAGAAAAAAAAACATCATGGCCCCTCGATTTAACCTTTACCCTTTTTATACAGCATACACTTGGTGGAACACCCGGTGCAACATGAGCATTGCCTTTTCAAACATTGCATGGAGAAGAGCATGGGCACTTGCTGAATCTCATCTGACTAAACCTGTGGCTGACTAACCTATGCATAGAGCAAGGAGAGCTCAGTGTTCCCACTTCACTAGGACCAAGCAGTCCTTACAGTTAATTACGCAGGCTGGTTTTAAGTGCCCCTAAAGAATAATAGCTGTTTTTTGTTGTTGTTTTTCTTGTACCATTCACTTAAAATGTAAAGTGATGAAGGAGGGGATGAGGAACTGCTAAAAATTCATGAGACTACTAGATCACAGCACCATGTGAACAATACCCAAGTGGTGCATAGACCATTTGAGTAAACAGGAATAATTTAATCTAGAAAACAAAGAAAAAAACAATCAAATAAGAAAATAATGTAGGTTCTTTAGACTAATGAATTGAGAATGTGATAATGAAAAAAGGACAATGTTAATTATGACATAAGCATTAATCTGTTGGTATTAACATGGCTTGTTACTCAGAGAACAAGTCTGCTGCAACGACTGAATATTCTAGGCAAAGGTGTTTCAACTGTTGTTATGTTGATTATCCTGTGTTTGCCATTGACACTGCTCTGCAAGATAATTATATGTTTGATATGCTATTCCTGGATTCTGTGCACCTAGCATTTACCATGCTGTACTGGACCAACTGCTCGTCTCTCGGCTATTTGTCCGACCAGCTTCGTAAAGATTCGATAAAGGTCAATGTAGATTGAGAGATCGTTCATTTAGATAGAGCTCAATCATAAGTTTCTGAGCACCATTATTAAATTTCATTGCTGAAAAACTTGGTGCCAAGGGTCCACTCCTTACTCCTCAGATTAAACTGCCCAAGCCAAATTAGACTTGCCGTATTTTCACGTGAATATTCGCGATGCCCCTTTCGCTGGATCAGCCAGTAGTAAAATTGCAAAGGCGTCGGTAACGCGCACAGTTTAGTAACTGATGGCAGTATCGCTAATTTGCATCTTCATAATTTTTTTTTTCACGTAAAAACGCCTCATCTTTGAATAAACAACAAATCTGCTATTGGAGAAATGCAACGTCACCATTCAGCTGGACTCATTTATTTCCCATTGTACGAGCGTGTATGTATGTATAGAATTAAGCACATATTACGTACCTGTCATATTCAGGGAT